ATAAACAGGAGAAATAATCGATACTTAAGAGACAAACTCAAATGGTAAATGAAAATAAACTAGAAAAATGCCATTGAACCAATGTTTAGAACTTGTACCTGGATACCAGCAACAAACACTTGGACAAACTGAAAATCTGGAAGCAAATAGACTCGAACGGTACTACCATCACGAACCTGCTCAACAATGCCTTGCATGGGCCTACCCTTATTTGCAGCTAGAAGACCCATGGCATCCAAGTTACCAGGATCACCGATGGCAGATGGAGGTAAATTCCTGATAGCAGCCTCAGCAGCCCCAGGTACCTACAGCCACAATTACAAAGACCATGCAACATGATCATTTAAAAGCTACTCTTTGCTATGTCAGTGAGACCATCGAAATTATAATGGACAGTTACAGATGCAAAAGAGATTACCTTGCTCCATCGACCCAGACCTTGTTGCTTGGCTTGCTCTTCAAGACGTAGCAATTCAGCAAGAAAAGGACTTGCTTCCCCTTTCTGCTGTCCTTGCTCCCTAACCTGCACAAACAAGACAGTTAAAGTAAATACAACAAAAAAAAATTCACCTTTCCCAGTGTTTTGACAAACTGAAAAGCCAATTACCTTTGCCCAGCCTTCAGAGACAACCAACATTGCAACATTTTTGTCACCAAGGTAAACTGAGCCAAATTCTCTGCCAATGCTTGGTACCGCGTATTCAACTCTGAAAGTGATCTCCTGAGTAAAGAATAAATTAATTTAGAACCACTCTTATTCTAAACCACCAAATGTCATCTATAACAACAATGATCAGAATAATTCAAAAGGAGCAGCACCTTTCCTATGCAGAGCTTCCTCAAATATTCTCTACTTTCCCAGGCAAATGGCTCATCAACACCTCCTCTACGGGCCTATCAATAAGACAGAGGGAAAAACAAGAAAAAAAATAAACACAAAAACAAAAGCATCAGCAGGAAGTTTGACACAAATGATATGCACCAAAATTTTTGTATTAGACCTTGGCAATTATACAACCAAAAACACTACCAAGTATAAACTCTCAAAGTAACTCTCATTCAACAAAATCATCATCCAAACAAAAGACCAAATTAATCAGCACGATAATCTTAAACAAGCATGCAAATCATTAAATTTAACAGCGACCGAAGGAAAACGCAGAAGTATATTCAAATGAGCTTTACCAGTCTAGGAGCAATAAGAGATGCCAAGGTAATGGTTTTCTCAGGAGCAGGTCCTGGTCTGTTAGTGGACATAGCCATTACTACCAAGCAATCCCCCGACGGAACTGCTTTGACTCTCCCTTTGTACCATCCCGTGCCCCCAGCTGTTGATGCCGCCATTCTCAACAGCTAAGATCTACACCAAAATTACCAAACACTCCACTTTTAACATCATTATTTCCATAAACAAGCAAAAAATATCAACGCTCTAAATAACAGAACTAAAAAATTTTCCAGATCTGTAACATCGGATTCACCGCAACATCAAACCGAACGAAAATTCATCGTTTAATCTTATAAAACTCTACATGCATCGACGAAAGGTTAAAATATTAATAACAGAATCGGCTTAAAACGCCTTGATCTGTCATTTGATCGAACGAGAGCCAAGTAAAAACAAATAGAATTTTAAAGTAAAAGAACGCATATACAAAATCGTGATTAAAATCTTTGCATGTAAAATCAGATTATAGCAATGCAAAAGAAAGAGATCTAATACCAAAAAAAAAAGTCGAGAATTATCGGTCTTGGGTTTTACCTGGATCAGCCGAGAAAAACTAGAGCCTTATTGGATCTATCGAAAAATAAATATTGAAAATTTTCAATTAGGCTCCGCTTATTATTTTCTCCGTATTATTCAGAGAAAAAATAAATTAAAAAAAAATAAAAACACAAAGGAGGAAAGAGAGACGGCAATAGAGAGAGAGGCAGGAAAGAAACTAGAGACCGTGTTGAGAGGGAGCGATTTATAAACAGAGAGCTAGGCGAGGTGGGCTATATATATGCCCTCCGTTCTTAGAAAAATTTACATGGGATGCCACGAGATAGGTACAATTTTAAAGTTGACAATAGTGACGCTGATTTCTGATTTGGGGGTTTTAGATTAGACTTTTTAATTAATGCCTGTGCCAGATTTTACCTCTTCCTAAAAACTACCTCGTTTTAATTAATGCCCAAGTTGCCGCGAGTTTTGGTTGAATTTAAAGTTAATTTTAATTTCTACCGAGATTAATTATATAATAAAACTAGGTACTAATTGGTTAAAGTGTTTTTTATATATATATTTTTCCATTAAATTACAAAGAAAAGTAAATATATTAGATACGTGACTTAAAATACTTAGTTGATAATAATGAGTTAAAGCAGTAGTAGTAGTTGAGCTGGTTTCTACTTTGTACCAAGATGGAAAGAACTACTCAATAAATAACTTATGAATAAACTAATTAAAATAAAACAAACATATTATTAAAATATATATGCATATCACTTTCTTTTTAAATTTAAAAATTCATCACATGCTATTTAATGATGTCTACATAAGAATATAATGATGTCATAAAGTTGTAAAATTACATAAATTTCATGAACAGATGGCTGAAAAAAAAACATTATTTGAATTTGAAATTAATTAATTTTCAACATCTATCGTTGGTTGACTTTACTGAATAATAATAATTGTTTACAAAATTTTTTCAAAAAATTATAAATGCTAAGGTCAGTCCATTATTTTCAATCTAGTTACCGAGGTTGTCACAACATAAATTTTAGTTTCAATAATAGTAGTTAATCATAATAATTCTTCGGCTTTGTGCGGTTTGAATAAAAAAAAAAGGAAATCTTATTATTCTTGTATTGGTAAAATGCAAATCGAGGTTTATAGGTGGAGCGAAGTCATGTTATTTCCTGTTAAAAGTGGTAGGTTCAGTGAGCCGATCTGCCAACAGCATATGCTAATGCTGACTGCTGACCGACAGTAAATAGGATGGGTTAGATCCGAAAGATGACATAAAAGTACTGCTCCTAGCTACTCCCTGAGCTTTTTTCACGGCGCACCGTTAAGCCGTTATCTTGCTATTTTGTGCAACTGCAAAAAGATATAAACGGAAGGACGGTGGATTCAGGCAGGACTCCCACACTGAAACTCTCTCTACCCTTTTCTTTTACTAGTTCACAATTTATATATATATATATATATATAAAGAATACAAAAGTTAATTAATTGAAAGATTGCTACACATTGACAAAATAAAAACATAATCCCATGTTTCTTGAGATTTTTATTTTTTCTCATTTTATCATTATTGATATCTAACGTACACATTGATAATGGAAGAAAGTAAGGATAATATACATAATTACATAATTTTTTTATTGAGAAAATGACAATTATATGTTCCTTTTATGTACTTTTTTTTCTTTAAAAATATAATGAAAAAGAAGATTTCCATGTCCACGTGGACAGAATGAAGTAATACAAATCAAATCGTTATGACACGTGGCTAATCTTTATTAAGATTCCAATAGAATAAATCGGCCCTTTTATCCATATTGAGTTAATCTCGTGGCAAAGCCGTGAAGATTTAAAACAGTGAATTCCTTTTTTTAAAAAAAAAAATTGGTAGTTAGCATGTTTTGAAATTAATTTCTTATGTCACACCTTTTTTGTCGTATTTTATTTGTCTCTCTTTGATTTTTTTAGTAAAATATATTTAATTTTAATTATTATTTTTAAAATATTATATAAAATTAAAATCTCAGAAATATATTTTAAAAAGTTTGAAATTCAATATTTTTAAATATTTATTTAAAAAATTTTAAACCTTTATGATTTATTAAAAATAATAACAAAAATTGAGTTTTATATGATAAAGAATTTAATAAAAGGCAAAACATAATGAGACGAGAGAATAAGACTAATCAGTAGAAGGCTTCTTTACTTTTTCTCTACAAGACAGTTTAAAAAAAAAGTTCAAATCTTCCATATATTCCTTTTGAAGGCAAAATCTTGAATTTTCAAATTCAAATATCACGGTGCACACTGCAAAATTTACAATGCGTAAGCTTGATGTTGAATTTGTCTAATTATATATTACTGTTTTGTTAATTAATTTAAAATTTAATATTTATTAATACTTATAACTTCATAAAAAATAACAATTAACAAGAACTAGTGAAAGCCTGAGCTATGAACCAGATAATAATAATTTGCTTCAGCAAAAGGGGGCAAACAGAGAGGATCAATCTTTTGTCTTCAAACAATGATATAATATTAGCAGAAAAACTTGGGTTGAAAAGAAGCTGACAACAAGCTCTGCCATGGCCGTCTAGTTTAGGTTTAACAGTCCGACCGTCTTATTTGATTTGATTTTTTAAATTTAAAAATTGATATGATTTTTTATAAAAATAATAATTTTTAAAATTAAATTAAGATTATTTGATAAAATTTTTTAATAAGTTTTTTTTAAAATAAATTATTTAGTAAAGCAACTTCTATAAGTTTTACTTTTTGTTAAAATTATCATAAAATGTATTTAATAAATAATTTTTTATTAATTATAAATTCTTTTATTTATAATGAAAAAAATTAAATTTATTTTTTATCTATTTAAAATAAATTTTTAAAAATATAATAAGTATTTTATTTAACATAAAATTTATAATTAATAATAAATCATAACAAAAAAATAAGAGGTGTTTTTTGAGAAGGTAATATTAAGATTACTTTTAATAGACAATGATACTTTTAGAAAAAAAAAAAGAAAAATCCTCTTAATAACTGATGTAGTTTTGAAAGAAGAAAAGAAAAACTCATCTTTGAAACTTTTTTTAAAGTTTTTTTTTTAGATTTATTTTTCTTAAAAAATAATTTTTTAAAGAATTTTTTAAATCCCAATTAATCTTATTGTCACTTTTAAAAAATAGATAATTTAAAAAAAAATTGGATCAAACAGATACTTAAGTTTCTAATAAATTATAAGTGGTTAGAACTTAAAAACTAAATAAGTGAACTCTCAACCTCTTCCAGGGCCGTGAAGAATTTCTGAACTACCTTTTAGTTCAATTGCGCAGCACATTGAACACGTGGTTGACTCCAAGCAAGTAAACACATACAATCTTAGAAAAGTATTCTAAACTACTTGTCCCTGAAAGAAAAGGCAAGGGCGGCCACAATGCTTATTTGTGGATTCTCATTGTTAGACGGCATGGGCAAAAGGAATAAAGTTGGTGCGCGAGGGACACGGATAGCGCCTGCATAACTTCCTGCCTAAAATTACTGTTTCATGTTTCGGGAATCTACTTGTGCTTGCGGAGGGAAGATTATCCATATTTTTAATCAGCATCACAAAAACAGAATCACGAGACGGTAAAAAGAAGGAAACAGAGAAAAAGAACCACAACAGGGACTTGTTTCCTTTTTGCTTCAGAGGTTTTTTCAACTGCCTCTAGCTTTACTGAGGGGGTATCAGTAATCATTCCATTTCCATGAGATTTTTCTTCAACATCACGTTAAATGATGGAGCTGGCTTGAGAATTGCAAAGTAAGCACTCAAGTTCTTTTGCATATAGAATTTCTTTATGATGCTAGCGTCTAGGAGGGATGGTAACTGTGGGCGGATTCGGAATTGTGTCATTTGGTCCAAGATCATCAATGGGAGGGCGCTGCTTATGGTGATTTGTGACAGACTGGTAAGCCATTGCCAATGCTAATGCCTGCATCAAAAGAAACAAAAAACGGTTCAAGTACAAAGATTTTTCTGATGACAGTAACTACATTCTATCATCAACCAGACGTTTTTAACTGATATATTAAGGCTGCGGAATAGGGAGCTTACAATGTGATCATGGTTCGGAGGAGCATAAATGCCCGTGTTGACCGTGGTTCTTCTACGAGTACCATTTGAAGGTGGATTAGATATGTTAGTGAACCCAGTCGGTACAACAATTACTGGCAAACCTACAAGATTTCCCATGCATACTCGCTCCCAATCAGTTGCATTTCCAATGAATGCATCCACAGTAAAACTTTCTTTCACGTCTCGGATTAACTTTCCCCGAGCTCTTTGTGCCTGTGGACATACATGCGAATACTGAATATATAGAAACAATGCCAGAAAATGAGAAATGGTTCTCTCTTTTCTCTCTAGTTCTTGGATTAAGCACTACCCAGTGCCACGGACCAGATGAGCTACTATTAGACCTTGCTCTCCTGCTTTGAATGCATTCCTGCTGATGCTTTTCTGAGTATTAACACTTTAGTTAAAATTAACTTATTAATTTGAAATTGAAAATGCAAGAAAGAATCTGAAAGTTTTCCATGGAAATTACACAAAATTAATTGTCCTTTCTACAATTTGGAATATTCATAGCCAACACAAACTGACCTCCTTAAAGAACAAGGTTATGCCTCAGTGGTTCATATCTATCTTTGTCCCACATATTCATATTTTGGAGCCTATTTCCCTACTCAAAACTGAAAGTAATAGAAGCTTTTGTCTTCCAATAGATCATTAGAAAATGTGTGTTAAATATCAGCTTTCACCAACTATAATATCAATCAATAATCGGATAGCAAACAACAAACCTGGACATAGTCCACAGCTGAAACTACACGTGCCCGACGTAATTCAAGAGGCCATTGATCTTGAGTTTCATACTCATCATCCTTCCCAGAGCGTTGCCATTCATCAAAGTGGGCCAACATGTCAACATCCATTGTGAAATTTAGGATACCTTGAACAGAGTTGACAGTATAATTCAGCTTGAAAGGAACCATCTTAACACCCTTCGACTCAAGCACATGAACAACCTGGTGTTAAAAAGGTCAGGCCTTATTATTTAAATTCTATTATAGTTCTACCAAATAACAAAAAAAATATAATATTGCAGTTCAATGAATTAAAAAAATGAATAATTCATAGTGATTATGACCTATGTTGTTTTTATTTATTTATTGTGCATCTCTCATATAACAAACTTTAGATTTAGTCACATGTTTCCGAAATAGTACCTCCTTGTCAGCATCTTCAAGATAACCAACTGTAAGCTTTGTGATGTCAACTGAGAATGGGTCACCAAAGGGAATGTCTCTTGATGACTGATCATCAGGATCTTTCCCTCTGATGGCATCCAGAATAACTGCACAATCGGCAGCATATCTACAGAATGGACCAAGCTTATCCTGACAAACAGGGAGCATTGAAAGTTACAAAAATCTCACCCCCAGAGCAAAACTTGAGGCTGGATAGTTTGGCTCAAAGCCCAAAGCAGATGTCTCTAATGTAGTGAAATTACCAAGCTTTCTGATATGCTCATTACACCAGTTCTTCCAACTGTGCCAAAAGTTGGCCGCAATGCTGTCACTCCACACCGAGCTGCAGGGAAGGTAATGGACCCAGCTGTTTCTGAACCAATTGCAAATGGAACCATACCTGAAACATGAACTTAATAACTTAGATGAAGCGAGGTATGTCTGGTTTAGGTAGTACTTCTTATAATGAGTCCTACACCTTTGGTCGTTTTGATTGTGGGAAAGATTGTTAGTCCTAGAAATGCTATTTCTCTGACATCATCTCATGCTTATTATAACTTTGTCTGAGAAACATAATAAATGGAAATAAAAATAAAAAATACCAGCTGCGGTGCAGGCAGCAGGCCCAGCTGATGAACCTGTAGAGAATTCCTCAATATTCCATGGGTTCTTAGTCCTTCCACCGAACCAGATGTCATCATATGCCAGTGATCCAGTAACAAGCTTTGCAACAAGAACTGCCCCTGCAGATTTTAACCTGCATTGAGAGTTCATAAGAGTGAATAAGTTATTCTGAATAAAAAAATACATTCTCAATGAAGTTCATAATAATTTCGATGATGTTTAATAATACCTCTTATATACCCAGGCTTCCATGTTAAGCATTTGATTTTTGAAAGTTGTTGAACCCCAAGTTGTATTGTAATGAGGTACTGAGATTATATCCTTCAATCCATAAGGGATGCCATGGAGAGGTCCTAAACCAACAACAAAATTTTAATTCTTGAACCAAGTGGCAATTTGACTATAAAGTAATACATAAAGAGCTAATTTGCTGACCCACAAGCATTTCCCAACAGTTCATAAAAATTGGATAAATAATGTAACCAGAACAAGAAAAAAACATAAGCAGAACAGCCAGCAAAAACTGGGAAAAGGAGATAGGAGGCTGGAAGGGGGAGAACAAGGGAAAAGCAGTGAATGTTCGTAAAAAGTAAAGATTAACATTAAAATATATTATTACAAATACATATTCTACCAGAAAGTTCTGTGGAAAGATGTGTTGAGAGCCAATACATAATAAAACATTAATTTTAACGGCAAAGATGGCAAGTAATCGTAAAGTATAAATCATAATGCAGCAAATTGTTACAGGTACCTAAATACACTCCTTTGGAGAGCAATTTGTCAGCTTCTTGAGCTTGCTTGTAAGCTAAATCTTCAGTATAAGTAATCACAGCTTCAAGTACTGGATTGTACCTGGTATTTTAGCAGTAAGCAATCAATGTTTGTTGGACAAAAGGAAGATAGATAGCACGGAGATGTTATTTCTTCGTACCTCTTTAATCTCTTCAGAAAAATTCTTGTAAGCTCCTCGGAAGTAATCTGTTTTGTCTTGATGAGTTCTCCTAGCTCAAGAACCTGATAAAGACCAGAGAAGGTCATACACAAAATTAGATCATAGCTAATGATTCCTTGCTACAGGAGCATCAACTGACTCACACTCATGAAGGCTATATCTTCTTCATTCTTTGGTCTTTGAATGCCCAGAGTCAAAGGATGATTAAATCTACCGGCCTTGCCTTGTGATTGCTCCTTGCTCCACTCAGGATTAAAAACCAAAGGAGAAGGATTATGCAGGCCACCATTAGCAGAAGCCACTAACTTTCTGTTGGCTCTTACTATGGGAATATTGAACTCTTTTGCAGCCTTTGCAATCTCAAGCACCTAAGAGAAATTAAATTAAAGACAATAAAATTAGTTACAACCACAGCCACTTTGCGAAGGATTATTCAAAATGAAACCATAATGCTGAATTCATCACCTTAGTATCATTAAAGAAGTTAGCATCCAATAATGCCAATGCACATCTAATTTGTGAAACTTCAACAACCTTTTTTGAGCATTCACTGCTATTTTCAGCGTCCTGGCCAAAGCACAAGAGAAATTCCACAAAATAAGGTTATCAAATAGAGTAAATCGTCAGTGCCTTGTATTTGCTTCTGATGTATTTATTACGTGGACACAATGATACGGGGAATGAACCATAACCTTCTGAAAGAACAAATCCCAGAAATTTTTGCAAGTTTTCACCTGTTTTATAGATGTTGTGTAAAAGGGGAAACATGTCCTATGAAGAAGGTAATTTAAGAGAGAGAGAGAATCAAGGATCCATGTCTGATGTGCTTTCATCAGAGCATCAAAAGGTCTAAAGCACATGTTATCCTGTATAGGTTGCACATCGCAATGGCAGTCAAGGACATGCCAAAATCCAAAACACGCAGTATACAGGCCTGAAGTTAACTCAAGCTTTGTCTTCTAAAGCTATCCTAAGGATGGAGAGCCCAAATCGGAAAGGGAAAAAAAGAGAGAAAAGAAGTTCCATTGAGAAATAAACCACTCAACTCAACTCGAGATGGGCTAACGCTCGCTGTTTTATGTTCTTTCAAGTGTCTAAAAGAAGATTCTGGTAGTAAGTATTAGTTCCTCAGAACTTATGAATTATGATCAATCATAACCAGAAAAAAGTACCAGACAGAAGATTCTGACACTAATCCTGGACTATCTTGTATGGAAGCTTTGATCATATTGCAAATAGGAACAAAATTTAAGTATCAAAGCACGCACAACCCATCTCTGACTTAACCAAAGTTCTGTATCAGCCTACAAACTGGACCTTTCGTTGTTTGATCACAATTTTAATCAATTGACCTCTCTTTTACGCGTCGCTAGTCAATTTCCAGGAAGAGTTAATACTCCACTACATAATGGCAAAAGAAATTCGACGAGACAGAGAGAGATTGTACCATTTTTGGGCAAATGTTAGCTAGAAGACGATGTGACGCCTGCAAAACAGGTGAGCTGTTGCTGGTACTATCTTGCTGGCGTTGGAACTCTGACAGGAAAGCTGAACAAACCGCGAGGGAAGACAAGAGTATCAACACGAGGGAGGACATGAAACGTCGTAACCGAAATGACATGACCGGACACATGTCAAGAAAACTAGCTGCCATGTTACCGGGAGGTGTTGGCCTTGGTCCCTTCATCACCGCCATGGAATTCTAAGTAAAAGTGCGATGGAATTTCTGTGCCTCGCCTAGTTGTTTGGCCCTAACGATAGATAATAAAGTAAGCTAAGACTAGCTGCAGTGTCAAGGCGTTTAATTTCTTTGACAACATCAACATGTTACTCCACCGGCATTGGAGCATTGAAAGTCCAGTCACCAAGTCAAAAGATTAATTCTTTGCTTGTCTGGTCTTCGAGTTGTTTTGGAATTATTAAAGATAAAAAGACAGATTTCACCACTTCCACGGCTGTATCTTCTCTGTCAAGCATAAGCTTGGTTAAACTTTGTGTTCTTCTTGTTGATTTTTGGGTGACTCTTGATTTGTGAGCAGCAGAATTTTTGTTTGGTGTCTGCTATGAGAGGTTCTTGTGCTTTCTCTCGAGTTTTTGGCCTTGACTACTTTCTCTTCATGCGATCAGAGACTTTAATAACATAATAGTGATGGGTTTCTACACACAATTTTTTTAAAAAATAAATAAAATAAAAACACCAATGAAGATAATAACCACAAATTACGTGCTTTCTTTAGTCAAAATGATTTCACACCCAAACCTGGATTTGAATTTCTACTAATAAAGACCAATTTTTGATACTATGATATGTAATTAAATAATTCAATTAAAAGATAGTTATGCGTATACTTTCACGTTAAACTTGTAAAATGAAATAAAATGATTATTTTATGAAAATTAAATTAAATAAAATAATTATTATATAATAAGTCGATAAAATAATATAAGAATTGCTATAATGATTTATTTTTATTTATTATTAAAGCTTTTGAAAAATTACATGTACAGAATAAAATCTTTATGCTTGTCTGATTGCTTATCGAAGACGATTAAAGCTTTTGAAAGATTATGAAGTGAAGAATAAAATCTTGGATAAGATTAATGAAGTAACTCTCTCCCCAAAAGGAGCTGAGAATAAAATGATTTAGATAAGAAGAAGAGCCTTTGGGAATCTTGGATTCTCTCTGTAGAAGAAAGGAAGTGAGGCAGCTTACAGCCGGATCAACTTGAAAATAAGCAGTCTCCGTGGACTTTGAGTCTTTGACCAACGTTATCGTCTTCCCTGCACATCCACACACTAGATTACTTCAAAAAGGGGGTTCAGATCCCAGTGCCGAGAGACGGCCTTCGGTGCTCCTATTTCCATTTTCAACCTGGGATTGTCTCTTAAAATTAACGTAAGCCTGCACTGACCGTAATTCTACCTCTGCTAAAGCTCCATCTTTTTCAACTGTAAGTTGATCTTATTTTACGCTTCCTGTTGATCTCTTCCGATTGTTCAGATTTTCATTTATTTGTGAATATTTTTTTGGTCGATTCGTATTATTGGTGTTTGATGTTAGATAAGGTTTCCAAGTTTTTGATTGGTAGGTTTGATTGTCGGGTTGAAGAAAATTCTTGCAATGGAAGTACAACGAATTAATTCAAAAGAGATTAGGTTTAGTTATTAAAATATGAGAAGCAAAAGATGAACTAAAATTGCTGATTTAGCCCACATTTTATTGTATTTCTTGTTGAAAGATAAATTTGGGATTTGCTGTTAAAAAGCTTCTATTAGGATAGAATGCATTGAATGAGTGAAGAATCTAAAATGCAGCAGAAGGGTAAAGAACAATGTCATTGTGCTGCTACTGCTTTGATGGATATGCCTTCATTAATCAGTTGAAGGAACTTGGACTTTGGCCAAATTTCCCTGGGTTAATTTGATATTTAATGCATTTTTTGTTTAATTGTATACCAACTATTAGCTGAAGGGTGTTTGGAATTGTATAGCTGTGGAAGTTAAATTTCAAGGTTTTATTGTAGTTTACAAGTTTAAACCTTTACTTTGGCAAAAATGAATAGCGAACTGGTTCATAACTCCAAACTATTTCTTTCCCTTGGGTCCTCCCTTTGCTTTTCTTTGAAGAATTTGGGGATGTTGTCCCAAATATATCTGGTTGCATATTTGCTTTATAAGATACTGTGTGATTGATTATGCCTGGTTTTATAAACATGAAGGAGACGGCATTTCTTTGGGATAAGGTTATAGCCGTCCTTTCTCTTTTAGATGTCTTCTAGTTGCCTGTTCTTTAGTCTGTAGATAAGAGAGAATGTATTCTGTCGATCTCTTTTATGGAAATAACTTCTTCTTGAGTTTTCAAAAGTTTTAGCCTTAAAGTGGCTTTGGGGGCTGGGCCCATAATTGCTGAAGAATCAAAAGCGATGGTCTTGTTTATTGATTGTTGAAAAGAAGCGTATATTGAGTGAAGAAATTTCATACTTGTTATCAGGTTGTCATACTTTCTAGTTTCTACAGTATGCTTAAGGTTCCAGAGCATCAGGTTGCAGGGCACCGAGCCATTAATGGGAACCTTGGCCCCGTCATAGATAATTTGGGACATTTCTACAAGCCTCTCCTGGATGATGAACGTGGCTCCAAGGAGCTGGCCTTCTATAAATCCTTCTCTTCTGATACTCGTGTTCCAGACCACATCCGCAGATTTTTTCCTGTGTTCTATGGCACTCAAGATTTGGAGGCATCTGATGGGTCTGGCTTTCGCCCCCACCTGGTCTTGCAAGATTTAGCCGCAAATCACCGTAGTCCATCGATTATGGATGTTAAGATTGGTTCCAGAACATGGTACCCTGAAGCATCTGAGGACTACATCCAAAAGTGCCTTGAGAAGGATAGAAAAACCACCACTGTGTCCCTAGGTTTTAGAATATCTGGGTTGCAGATATATGAAAGCAAGGAATCAGGATTCTGGAAGCCGGAAAAGAAACAAGTCCAGAGTTTTACTGCTGATAATGTTAGATTAGTTCTGAGAAAGTTTGTTTCATCAAATTCTTCTATTGGTTCAAATGAGAACCCAGATTGTTCTCTTGCTCCTATTGTATATGGTGGTTCTGCGGGGATTTTGGAACAATTATTGGAGCTGAAAGCATGGTTTGAGAATCAAACAATTTACCATTTTCATTCATGTTCAGTTCTCATCCTGTTTGATAAGGAATCGGTTTTGAAAGGAAGGACTTCAGTTGCTGAAGTTAAACTCATAGATTTTGCTCATGTTGTGGAAGGCAGAGATGTTATTGATCATAACTTCCTGGGTGGACTCTGTTCTTTGATAAAGTTTGTGTCTGAGATTCTCTCCAGCTCAAAGGAATCCTCAATCAAAGCTTGTTTTATGGAATCGGAGAAGAAATGCTATTGTACTAACAACAGCAATTACTGGTAGAGTTGAAAAAAAGCACATTTCCTCAGTTCTTAGTTTTGTTTCTGGTCTGTTAGACTGCTGCTTCCTTCCATGCAAACTGAGGAATTTTGTGATTTTCTTGGGTTTAGATTTGAATAATTTGCAAAGAGGCTGCATCTTAATTGTTTAGAGAGATTGTTAGTTTTGTTTCAATAAGATTTTCCGTAATGAAGACCAATTTCTTTGCAATTGTATCATTTTCAACATAGCACTGTAGTTTCAATTTGTTTCTCATGGCAGATGTAACTAGAATGCAAAGCTTGATCATGCATTGTCTAGAGGGCTGACAGTAAAAAGAAAAGTGGCTTACAAGAAAATCTTTCTAGGGATTGACAGTGGTGGAAAGCTTAAAAAGCCAGTATATGCGTCACGGTCCACAGCATGAAGCAATGCTGTCAAAAAGTCGTAAACAAGTTATGATGATGGGGACCCTCTACGGAGTTCCTGGAATATCATATCTAAGTCACTCCCACTTTCTTTTGAGCATCTTTTTTGTGCTTCATAATCTGAATTTGTCAAAACGTTCTGTGAAGCTTACCGGAATGCTTGGTAACATATAATAGCAATCTTTGACTGGAATTCTGTCATGGGTCTAAGGATTTCCAGGGGATTGAGCTCTGAGGTAGATGCTGGTTTTGTTTGTATGGGAATCTATTCCTTTTCCTGCTGTGTTTTATGAAGCTTACCACAATATTCCTCTTTTGGCTGTTAGATTTCTTCCGTATTTATATCCGCACATGATCTTATTTTCTGGTGAGATTACTAGTGTACGCATCTATAACCTGTCGGGTGGCATGAAAGCATACACATAGAAGAAAATCACAAAATTAAAAATAAAATAAAAAATAAATTACCCAATTTGATCATTTAACTCTTCGACAATCTTTGTTTTAATCATTTCAATTTTAAAATTTTAAAAAATTACATTTTGGTTGTCAATGTGTATAAAAACTAATGTTTTTATTATTCAATAATTAGAAATTAATGGCTTATTGACCCATTTTTTCACTGCTGATTGACTATCTTTTCACGGTAGTGAATATTTAATCACATGACAGATGAGATAATATGAATACACCACTTGTGTGATAGAAAAAAACCATATCAGGTTTTTAATAATTTAGTGATTAAAATATTAATTTTTATAAATATACGTGATTAAAATTTTAATTTTTATAAAAAATTTT